AGGAGTTCTAATTTGTATAACGAGGGATCACTTAATTCTAAAAATAACTCCATGAGACTTGTTATAAGAAAATAAAGGGTGAGTTAAAATAGAAAAAATAATATTTAATTTTAGGGAATCAGAAAATAGTTTATATATAAAGATAAATATTTTAATATTATTTTATGAATGAATATCTTAGCATGTCTAATATCAATTGAAAAATTATGAATATTAATTAACAAAATCAAGAGAAATAAAAATATCTTTTGAATTAAATAACCAATTGAAAAAAATATATGAAAAATATGAGACCCAAAAAAAAAACGAACAATGTTAAAAAAAAAACATGTTACAATGTGATAAGCACAATCAATCATGAAAATTAAAACAGACACAATAGTTGTATGAGTTTACATGCAATTTCTTTTATATATAAAGATTGTTTTAAGAATTTGTGTTACTATTTGTTAGATTATTTTTATTTGAAAACAAAAATTAAGTATATACTCGACTTAGTTATGAACTCTGATTTTTTTTTCCTTCATTCTTTTTAATAGATATTAAAACCACTTAATTAAAATTGAGATTTGCCTTTTCTAAAATAAAATAATTCAAAAACTAAAAAAATTATTTAAAAGTTAATGAAAGTGTGAAAAGAGAGTTCATAATAAAAATATAATGATAAAAATACAACTTCTAAACAAATGAAAAAAGAAAATATATTCAATCTAGATTTCAAAGCTAAATATTATAAGTGGTTTTATATCCTATCACATTTGATATTTTTGTTCATGATTTACATAAATTGTATCTTTGCATCAAAATAAAATAAAGTAAACTAATTTTACTTATAAAGTATTATTTTGATAAATAATATTAAGTATTATAAAGAAAAAAATTAATAGAATATGCAATTTATTCTTCATAATAACAACAAAATTTAATTTTAGAATAAAATATTTATTTTTAAATGGTCATTATTTATATTTTTGAATAATATTTTTTGAAATATTAATTCAAGAAAGATGGGTATCGAAAGAACCTGTAGAGATTTTAAAATAATTATTAGATATAAACGCCTTATTTTTTTTAAACTTATTTGTAAAATATTTAGAAAAGTAGAGTGAGGATAGGAGTAGAAATTATATCTAAAATCATATTTAAAAATTGAGAATGATTGATATTAAAATTTAATAATAGATAAGAACGAACGCATATTACTTACAAGGACACAAATGCAAAATTTGTGCTAATTGTTTTGGAATTTGTGCTAAATTCTCATATATTTTTCCAAAAAGTGAAATATCATAGATAGTTTTCATATCATCGTTTACTAGTGAGAAAGATTTTATATGTATTATCATAATTTTTTTTAAAAAAATGAAAAGAAAAAATATTTTATTTTTGTCCAATTTTTCTAAATTTTGTAACCATGTTCTTTATTCTGTTTTTAGTTTTTAATTCATAATATTATTTTATGTTTGATTTTTTCATATTATTGAATGTGTGGTTAAATAAAATTATTGTCAACTTTTTAATTTTAATTTCACCTTATTATCCATACCACTAAGTTCAAATTGTAAACGTGTAAGTTTTTTTTTAATATTACAACGATCTAATATTATATTTAAATATTTGTAATATATTAAGTTATAAATATTTTTTATTATATAATTATTATTAGTGGATAATATTATATATATTTTTATATAACTTTTTTATATTTTCTAATATTATTATACTTTTATCATTACTCTTTATTACGTACATACAATATCATGTTTTATGAACAATTCAAACATTTAGAAAGAGAGTAAGTAGTAAAATATATATATATATATATATATATATATATATATATATATATATATATATATATATATATATATATATATATATAACCCTAACGTGACCCAACCCAGTAATTTGCAATATGAAACTGACAACAGAAAGGAAATTGGAGGACTGGAAAAAGGTTGAAACACAAATCGAATCTAGAAAGACAACACAGATCTGTCCGAGCAAGAACGCATCATCAACAACCATAACGGGCAGAAACTTGCAGAAGAGAAGCAGTGTAGGTGCGTTCTACATAAATCGTCGCCTACAAAAATTCAAATCCAGTGTTGATTTTGCCCCCTTTTTTTTTTTCTTTCTAAAGTCGTCCTTTTACATGAGTTTCAGCTAGTTAACTGGGTTCCAGGGTCTGAGAAAGTTGACTCTCGGGTTTTGATAATCATTGTTACATGTTAATGTGTAGTCTATATAGTTATAATTCTTTGTATATATAGTTTTTTATTATTTAAATATATATTAATTTTACTAATTTTTTGCAGTAGAATGTTTCCAATTACTTGTTGCAACATATTGTGATATATTATGGAACTGGTTGTTTGAGTATGACATATTTAATCCGTAGTCTAGAAATAATAGAATTCGAGCTGATTTTACATAGCTATTACTACTTCTTCGCATGACTCTGTTTGAATGTGGAGAATGGTTATCTATGGAATAGAATGTTCCTTGCATATAAAAAGAAATAGTAGAAATATTTCATCAACTGAAATATGCATATATAAAAAATAATCTACACATGTCAAAACTATATCACAAACATAATAGCAGAATGAATTTATTTGTGATAGCTTACAATTCCTTGAAGGCCAATAAAAATTAAACATTTTAATATTTTTATTACAGTTTTTAATTATGTGAATTGTGTAATCATGAAGTATGAATGTTAAGTAACAGTTGGAATACAGGCTAGAATATTCTTTTATCATGCAAATCTAAAGCTGTTGCTTTGTATTCATTATTACTGCACTAGTTGGGGTACTGCAATAGAAGGTTTGCGTTTAACTCCAAAATGCCAATTGCAGGATCAGTAATCAAAGATCTAATTTTTATAATATATCATATCAGAATCAAATTATTCTTATGTTTTTCACACCCAAATTATCAGTGTACACATTACCAGAATTCAACACAAATGCTGCAAGATCGAAACTTAACTTAAAAAGTACTAACCCCTCAATTCCTCTTCTTTTCTCATCACAGCATCCATCAATTAATTGTTTCTGTTCTTTATTTATATTTATTATTGCCTGTTCTGTGTGATGCAATTTCAGGTATAAACTAGTGGAAGTCCTTAAATCCTCCCTTGTAAAAAGAAAAGTACTAAATTGTTATTTTGTGTTATGGTGTTTAATAAAGCAAATTACCCTGATACTCGTGATTTCTTTTAAATTAACACAAAATTCCTTTCTTTTAATTATAACCCTTTATATGAACACTTGGTGTAATGCCTCAAATAGATAATATGAGTGTTATTATAATTTATTCCAGACAGTTCAGGAGAGCTATTGTGGAAAAGAAAAAATAAGATAATGTTAATAACAACATCGTAGGAAGTGCCGTGTAATTTGTTTATTATTATCATTATCAATATGCTATTTTCAGCTGGTAACAGTGTCTGTCATTTTAGATTTCTTTTTTTTTTCTTTTCTTTTTATATTTTAGAGTTTGATGCTTAAATATGTGTGCAATTCAATTCCCCTCGTCCTCTTTAATCCAAGTTCAAACTGTAAAGACTTTTTTGTCGCATGAACTATTGCAATGGAACTTATATAGCATGTTGAAATTTGAAATCACCGCATATATTGATATACCTCTATCTTTTTTTTTTTTTTTTTTATTTTGCTTTTGCCTGTCAGCACACTGGATTGTGGTGCATAGAGCTATAACAACTATAAAAGTTGTGGATGGGGATGCTCTTCCTATGTGGATCCTGAGGATGATATCCTAATGAAGTGAGTGGTGAAGTATATCTTGCTTGAATTTTAAATTGTACTTTTCAGTTCTAACTTGATTAGCTTCTCATTCTTTTAGAATGCAAATTTGCTAGGATGATGTTAACATTCTGAGGTTTATAGTTTGGGATGTCATTCACCTTATTATATGGCTGCACCAGAACAATTACAACTAGATATTGCAAATCAACTTTAATAAATGTAATCAATTTGTTCATATATTTTTTTTCAGAAATGAAAGTGATAATTAATTATTTTCTGTTTTGAACTTGAACCGGATCTCATTCATAATTGATAATCTGCACGACCATGGAAATTCTCAGAATTAGCTATCTCAAGATAATCAATTATATTTTAAGTAATTAATTATTTTATTTTTGTTCAATTTTAAAGAAATTTTGAAAATGTTTAAAACCTCTTGAAACAAGACGAGCATGATAACCTTCATGATGTGCACACACACATGAAAGCAATAACACCTTAAAAAGAATAAGATTTATGCATCATCAAAACAACCCCAATAACTAGCTCTTTATGATCGTCATAGTCAATAAATAGCTTTTTTCCTGTTGTCTTTATTTCTTTTGTTTTTGTTTTTTTTTTCTTATAATTTAAACATAATCTAAGAAAAATACTGAAAAAACTATACTTATTTTTTTAGATTTAATTATATATCTAGTTCTTGAAGTTTGAGGTTAATCATGTTTTTATCTGCCAAATTAAAAAAAAAAACTTTTTAATTTCTCAAAATTTAAATAAATATGATTTTAATCATAGATACTAAATTTGAAGAACTAAAACAATCTTACAAAATCTTTTAGACTCTTAAATTTAGTTTTTAGAGATTAAAATTATAATTTTTCAATTTTAAGGGATTAAATGTTTTTTTTTATCAAAAACAAATTTATTGTAAATGTGGGACCAAAAACATAATTTTTATTTTTAACTACACGAGCAAATTTACTTTTAAAGGCACCTCAAGTTTGTAATTGTTAGCAACGTAGTGGCAAACTTGAAGTTTCCATGCGTGTTTTCTTTGAGCTTCTTATTCTCTTTGATTGTGTCTGTTTTCTTGGGTTATTAACTTTTGTGTAAATAAACTCCTAATTATAATTTATAATTATAATACAAAGCTTAATTAATTTTTTTAGTTTTGTTTTCAGAAATCTCTTCAGAAGTGTTTGATTGTTGTGAAGGTTGGGTGATTCTATGCGTTGGTTGGCTTCAATTGATGAGAGAAAATTGTGGGGATGCTTGTTTCTGTCAATTGGCTCTGTTTTCTTTGTTGGATATTTCTTTGTTGCTGTGATTTCCAAGCTTCTGCCACCTTCTCGTGTTCCCCTCATTTCTGCATTGCAAAAGGACTGGTAATTAACTAATTGATTGCTCCTAATACTGACATATGATTCTGTAAGTTTGTACTTCCATATCAATGATTTTTCAGCATGGTTATTGAATTTTGGGGAGGGGATAATAAAAGAGTGTAGAATGTAATAAGGTTTTGTAATTGCAATATGTTCTGTGATGGATTTGATTTATTTTTCCTTTTAATTGTTGTTTTGTTTCATGTGCTGATGATAGTGTGTTATACCGTGTGTTTCATGAACATGTCATTCATAATACACAGGAAAAGGTTACAGTATGTGCCATTCATGACAAAGATCTAATTTGCATAGTTTGGGATTTGAATTGTGTTTGGTGATGACTTGAATATGCTTAATTAATTAGACGGGGTTGTGTTCTTGACTTGAAGTTGTTTTTGATAAGTAGTTCCTGAAGTACCATTCTCTCTTGGTCCAAAATGATTTTTTCCTAGCTTCCTAGGTGATTCTTTCTTTCCTTTTGTAAGGGCTTGAGATCTTCCAAAGTGTAATTGCTATATGCTTGATATAGATTAATGCCTTAAGTCAGGTGTTCCACTTTTTGCCATGGTCTACCACCACCAAAACATCACCCTCTTCGCTACTCTTGGGACCAAACGTGAAAAATAAATTTGATGTGTTTGATAATTATTCACAGTTTAAATATATTGTCGGAATAAATGCTGTGTTGTTGCTATAATTTCTTGAATAAACAGTTTCTGTTATCTTTGTAGCCACTGATATCTCTCCTTGAGGAAGAAAGAAAAACTCATCATTTTCCTGATTTTTCATTTGACAAATATAATAGGTACTACTGCTTCTTGGTGCCATTGACTCTCCCTATAATTGTGGTTGCTGTGTACTTTCATTGGCTCACTATGAAGTTGTTCAAGCATGCATAGCATAACTTTGTCAGATTTTGAAGGCAGAAATACATGCATGCTATTAGAACAACAACTACCTATGTCAATTGCTGCTTTGTTAGATATCTCTGCAGGACCTCCACTCCTCCAATCCCCTCCAACGAACACAAGGATTAAATGTGATTGCGAATCTGTCAATACTATTTATGTTTGTTGTGCCTTTGAAGGAGGCCTAGGAAAAGTTATGTACACCATTCAGTCCTTCTAGCAGCGTAACTTGTTTTGGAGGTTCATTGTGCCTTATTACTCTATCATCGTATCAATGGTATCTGTGTAACTAGGTTTATTGTTTTACATTTTTTTAATGAGGTTCATCTTGTTTGCTATACCTTGTCAAAATCTTGAAGGTGTTGGACTATAAAAATTCTCAATAACTCTGACATTGAAAGAAATGCATATAATATCAAAGTGTGCAAAATTAAAGCAGCAACATTAAACAATAATGTCTACAAGGTTATTCTCATTCAGTATTGATATGATATGCATGATTTGTCCTATAAATGTTTTTTGTGGTAGCCAATGTTAATATCACAGTTTATACGAGGCAATTTACTAAACGCCAACCTATTTAAACTGGTTAAAATAACTTATATCTTAGTTGATAAATGATTATGTTGACAATAATAAACCATTTATTAAGGGACTTAATTCTAATCTATAAGAATAATAAATGTGTGATTTAACTTATGATAAATTGTTTTTATTTAGTAGATGGTGTTCTTTAATTTTGTTAAATATTTGTAAAAGTTTTATTATCCATAATCATCATAATCATCTTAAAAATTGGATGTCATGATATTGGTGCATTAAATATTGAATATATAAATATATATAAAGGGTGTTTACGAGATAAAACTAATTTTTCAAGTAGAAAATACTTTTTAATTTAATAATATTAATTCTCAAATCCATTATTATTAACAGTTATTATTTCAATAATTCTAAAATTGATAATTCTAAAATTGACTTTAATATTATTTTCAAAATAATAAGATATTTAACTTAATCCTATTAAACAAGAAAGTGAAGATTTTACTCCCTTTTATACTATAATGTTATTATATAATATTATTATATCATTGATTAGTCATCCAATCAAACAAAGATAACATGATCTACAACTGTGAAAACCTCTTGACCAATGTACCAATGATTAAGGTAAACAACTTACAAACCAGAGGAATAAAGAACACTGGCCAACGTGCCCAAAAGAAGAAAAAATCTCAACAAAAACAAATGATGATTGGCTCAAAGCTACTATTTCTATTTAGTAATAAGATAATTAAGTTCCTAGCTAGAATAATGAGTGCTTTAGGCCTTCAGTGGTCATGTTTTAGACAACTCAAATGGCAGCCTTGTCTCAATTGCAAACGACATCCGAGTAAAAGGCTACGGTCCTTCTTTCACAGTTTTGTACGCTTAATAGCTCAACATCAAAAACTTCAAACTGTTTTGCGCTGAAAAAGGTTGAAGGTCCTACCTGCAGAAGACATAAACATCAGCCATTCTACTCCAGAGAGATTACTTATTTTAATGTTTCTGAGAGGAGTTCAGTGCAGTTGCAAGAACTGTATATTAGAAAGTATTAGTAAAATTGATGAGCTATTGTTAAAAAGTGCTCAGGCAACAGGATTGGAGCCTATACTCTGCTCCAATTTGGACATAATAATTGGAATGAAATTTCTTATGCAGAGAAATAGAGGGAACAAAGTACAGTTTCAATCTTCCAAGCAATAGTATCTAACATAATATTTTTTTGTTTTATTTTAGTGAATTCAACAGATATAATATCCTAAAAGTTGTTACAAGTATTTCTTGATGCTATTCCAAATAAGTTGTTTAAGTATTTATGACCAAAATATTTGTCTCTTTAAATGCCAAAAGTAAATCATGATACCTATTAAATAGGTTTACAACTCATTGGTTATATAACTCGTAATAAAAACCATTAATATTATTCTAGGAATACTAAACGTCTAATTTAAGTTTTACAATAAATCTCCCCCTTAAACTTAAATACTCTTCCCATCTCTTATTCCAATAAGCCTTTTACAACTCTCCAGCAGTGTAATTGGCAGTGGTTTGGTGAATATGTCAGCAGTTTGAGCTCGGCTTTCAACATGCTCCAGCTCAACCTTTCCTTCTCTGACTTGTTCTCGGATGAAATAAAATCGGACGTCGATGTGCTTGCTCCTTCCATGATTAATCAGGTTCTTTGCCAACTCGATCGCCAACTCGTTGTCAACTTGAATTACAGTCCGTTTGTCTTAGATCACCCCTAGATGCCTTAGTAGATTTGAAAGCCAGACTGCATGACACACACTCTAAGATGCCGCCACATACTCGGCCTCGCAGGTTGACAGAGTTACAATGGACTGCTTCTTTGACAGCTAAATAAAAGCTGTTTTTCCGAGTAGGAACATATAACCTGAAGTACTTTTCCGATCATCAACATCACCGCACCAATCACTATCCGAGTAACCCACTAGTCGGTAGTCATCCGATTTTGAATATAAAAGACCAAGTGATAAGGTTCCTCGAACATATCTCAAAATTCTCTTTAAGGTCTTCCAATGTGTGTAGCTTGAATTCTCCATGTATCTGCTCGTTATCCCAACACTCAGCATTAGGTCGGGTCTTGTGCTTGTAAGGTACCTCAGACTTCCGATTAAACTTCGATATCTCCCAGAATCAGCTCGTTCTCCTCCATCAAACTTTGAGAGTTTAGTGCCTGGTTCCATTGGAGTAAAAACCGGGTTGCAGTCCTCCATTTTAAACTTCTTTAAAATTTCAAGCGCGTACCTCTCTTGGGATATAAAAATTCCTTCTTCTGACTGCTTCACTTTTAGGCCAAGAAAATATTTCATCATCCCTAAGTCTGTCATTTCGAACTCTTTCTTCATTACCTCCTTGAACTCCTTAATTAGCTTCGTATTGCTTCTGGTGAATATGAGATCGTCAACATAGAGAGCGACTACCATCATATCCTTTTCTAATTTCTTTGTGTATAAAGCATGCTCGTATGAACATTGTTCATACCCATTTTTCTTGAAATACCCATCAATTCTCTCATTCCAGGCACGAGGAGCCTGTTTCAGCCCATAGAGAGTTTTTCTTAATCTCAACACCTTTTTCTCATCCCCTCTCTTCATGTACCCGAGTGTTGCTCAACATACACCTCCTCTTTCAGCACTCCATTTAGAAATGCCGATTTCACATCCATCTGTAGAATCGACCATTGGTTCTGAGCAGCTAATGAGATCAGAAGTCGGATTGACTCCATTCTCGTGACAGGAGCAAATACTTCATCATGGTCAATTCCCTCATTTTGTCTATAGTCCTTCACCACAAGTCGAGCCTTGTAACGTTCAATCTCTCCCTCAACATTCATCTTCATTTTGTACACCCATTTTACTCCAATGGGTCGAGCTCCTTTAGGAAGGTCAGTCAACTCCCAAGTTTTGTTGCGTTCAATCGCTCCAATCTCCTCATCCATGATTGTTCTCCACTTCTCATCTTGGACAGTTTTCTCAAAACTCAAGTCTTCAAAGTCAGCCAGAAGGCATACAACATGAACTTCATTTGTAGTGTCGTATATTTCCTGCAAACATCTCATCCTGGGCTGTTGTGGCTCTATTTCTTTATCTGATGACTCAATGGTTGTTATTGTTGAAGGCACAATAATTTCGAAACTAGTTTCTTCTTCTGCCGGGTTACTCCAGAACCAAGGCTTTGTTTCTTCCACGTGAACATCTCGGCTTACCACCACTTTATTGTTAACAGGATCAAACAATTTATACGCTTTAGATTTTTTCATCATACCCGATAAATATGTACTTCTTACTCCGATCTTCTAATTTAGTCCTGTGCTGACTTGGTCATAGGCCATGCTACCAAACACCTTCAGATGAGAGACACTCGGCTTCATACCACTCCATATCTCTTGAGGCGTCTTCTCACCTAGCTTTGCATGTGGACATCTATTTTGTAAATAGACTGCGCACTGCACCGCCTCTGCCCAAAACTTCTTTGGCATATTCTTCCCTTTCAACATAGATCGAACCATATCAAGAATGGTTCGGTTCTTTCGTTCCGCTACACCGTTTTGCTGCGGAGAATATGAGGCAGTCAGGAAACGTTTGATCCCATGTTCCTCATAGTATTTGTTGAACTCAGTAGAAGTGAACTCGCCTCCTCTGTCAGATTGGATTGCTTTGATGACTTCGCTTGTTTCTTTCTCCACCATCACTTTGAATTTTTTGAAAGTTTCAAACACTTTTGACTTCTCCTTTAGAAAATAAACCCACATTTTCCTTGAAAAATCATCAATGAAAGAGACAAAGTATCTCTTACCACTGAAAGATTCTAGAGTTATTGGCCCACACAAACCAGTGTGGATCACTCCGAGTTGCTGCTTTGCTCGACACTCAGAACTTCTTGGGAAAGAAGTCCTCGCTTGCTTTCCAATCACACATTCTTCACAGAACCTTTTTTCGAATTCCATTATAGGCATTTTGAGCACCATCTCCTTTTTTACTAGTGCAGTCAACCCACCGAAGTGAAGATGACAAAACCGAAAATGCCACTTCATGGCCTCATCCTCCATATCAAGTTGCATGCATTTATCTTGAACTGTTTTCAGCTCAAGTTTGTACATGCGATTTTTCTTCATTTCCACCAAAGCAATAAGCCTCCCGAATTTATCCTTCAGTTGTAGTTCTCGGTCCTTCATCAGAACCGAGTACCCCTTCTCCATTAACTGTCTCATGCTCAATATGTTGCTTTTGAGATTAGGTACGTAGTATACATCTCTGATCTCTCCGATTCGTCCATTTCTCTATTGATACCATATCTTTCCTTGACCTTTGACAGTTACTTTCGAAGCATCACCGGAAGAAACAGATCCGGACTCCACCTTTGAAAGTATTTTGAATAAGCGCTCATCACCACACATGTGGTTACTAGCGCCGGTGTCCAAGTACCAAACTGAGTTATTAGAATAGTTTGGTTTGACCTCAGTTTCTGAAATGTTTGTCACCATCAACAATCCTTCATCTTCTTCCTCAGCAAGAAAGTTTGTTGGTTCCTCCTTTTTCTTCTCGGACCTACAATCTTTAGAAATATGACCCAGTTTTTCAAAATTATAGCATTTTACGGAGTAACAGTCCTTGACAACATGTCCATTCTTTCCACAATTATAGCATTTTACCGAGTAACAATCCTTGGCAATATGCTCATTCTTCCCACAATTATAGCATTCAATATTGTTTGTGTTTGTCCGACCACCCCGAGCCTGTCCTTGGCCACGCCAGTTCTATTGACCGTCTTGCTCATTTTTTCGTCCTCCTTTTCCTTTATCACCTCGGCCTCTGCCTTTTCCTCGGCCTCTGGTACTCTGAGCATAGAGCACCTTCTCCTCTTTTATTGTCGCCTTTTCCTGGAGAGCCTGTTCAAGGGACTCCCCCTTCTTGTTTTTCCTTCTCTGCTCATGCGCTTCAAGGGACCCAGCAAGCTCTACAAGGGTGAGCGTCGATAGATCCTTGGACTCCTCTATTGCGCACACGATGTTCTCGAAATCATCTGTCAATGACCTCAAAAATTTTTCAACAACTCGGTTTGATGAAAAACTCTCACCATTCTGATTCAGCTTGTTCACCATGGTCTCCACCCGAGTAATGAACTCGGATACGTTTTCAGGCTCTTTCATCCTCATGTTTTCCACCTCGCCCCTAAGGGTTTGAAGTCGAACTTGTTTTACCCGTTCATCTCCTTTATTTGCTTTTTCAAGTGTATCCCATGCTACTTTGGAAGATTTTGCGTTAGCTATCTTCTCAAAGCCGGATTCATCGATGGTTTGGTATAGCAGATACAGAGCTGTCTTGTCTTTAGCTCGAACGGCCTTCAATGTGTTCAGCTGGGCATTTGAATACCCATCTGTGTTCGCCGGTTCCTCATACCCATTCTCGACCACATCCCAATTATCTTGGGAGCCGAGAAGAGCCTTCATTTGTACCTTCCAGTTGTCATAGTTGCGCCTTTCGTCAACTTGGGTAGCGGGATGCCATTGGTTAGACTTGCCATTTCCTCTCAAGTGTTTGCACTCAACTCACACACCTCACAAAGCTTTGAGTCGTTTCTCTCTCTTTCTCAGCCAGCACACACCGCGGCGTTTTCTATTGAGGCTTGGTAGGTTCTCTCACGCTCACCTCACACAAGCTCTGATGCCAATTTGTTGGTAACAGGAAAACGAAACAACACTCTCAATATTTCTCCTGATACTATTCCAAATGAGTTGTTACAAGTATTTATTGCCAAAATATTTGTCTTTTCAAATGCCAAAAGTAAATCATGATACCTATTAAATAGGTTTACAACCTATTGGTTATCCCACTCCTAATTAAAATCATTAATATTATTCTAGGAATACTAAACGTCTAATTTAAGTTTTACAATACCAAGCAATAGTTTCTAACATAATATTTTTTTGTTTTATTTTAGTGAATTCAACAGATATAATCTCGTAAAATCAGTTTAGATTAGTTATCACAAAAAGGGTAGGCTGGTGGATCCACGTAATAGACTTCACTATTCTGCCAAAATTTCTGCTGCATTTCTTCAGAAAAAGAGTAAGCTGGTGCATCAATTAAGCATTCTGATTCTAACTAACATTGTGTTGATCGATAAATTCTAGAATCCATTCAGCAGCAAATGCATTATTCACATTTATCAATTACTTGCTAATACCATGACATTAGCTACAAATTATTGAAAAACAATAGTTATTGACAGAAAATAGATAATATAAATTATAATAATTTCAATATAACTCAGTACGGACATAATATGCTGTTTTCATGAGATTATTTCTTCATTTTTATTGAAACATCTTTTTGTCCCAACTACCAGGTGTCAAAGTTGATTGACAGGCCTTCATTGTTGAAAATTGTTTATACAATGTAAAATTTCTTCGACCTTAGCATGGATTAATTATAAGCAGTCAAAATCATATAATATGGAAAAACTCCAAAATAAGTTAGAGAAAGGTGATAAAAGAAAAATGAGAGATGTTGGAACTCACTGGTGGTCCAAGTTCCGGGGGGATGATGATTCTTCTCTTCCCACCAGGTCTCATGTCTTTAATCCCTTCCTCAAATCCTACATCAGAAAATGTACTTGTCTCACTTCCTTCTGCACTTATTTTCCTCCCCTTTTGGGTTCTTTAAGGGAGAGACAAAATCAAGCAAAAGATGAATACCTTTTTCATGAAGTTGCAAAGAAATTAATAGAACTAAATCTAAAAATTTTAACCTGGAACTAATGCCTTAGTACCCATGCGGATTTTGGCAGGAGTACCCTGCAAGTAAGAGCTGTCTATTCGACGACCAGATTCATTATAGCCAACATAGTGAAAAGTGACCTGCAAGGCATTGCTTACAAGCATATCAGTGAATATAATTTCTGTATACAAATCGTTCATGCTTTAAATTGCAGTGCCTGAAAGTTCCAGTTTTGCAGCTGAAAATGACATTTTTTGGATAGCTTTCCACTTTCTACCAATGACCACCTCACCTGAGTGGCTAATGATAGACTGACCCCAATATTGATGTATGATAAAGCAATGTTTAAAAAACATAAAATGTTACATTGCCTGGGAGTGTATTTGTTATACAATAAAAATTAAGAAATCATAAGAAAGAAAAAATTCATATATGATCTTATTAATTTCACTAAGAAGATGCCAGCAATGCAGATTAACAAAATTTCTCGAAGGAAGTAGAATGCCAACGAAAGACAGGACTATGAACAACAGTTGACACAAAAACTGGTATGCAATGCTAGAGAATAACATAACAGCGTAAAAAACTCGTACTCTTAATCCATGGGGTTTTATGCTGTTGCCGTGATATGTAAGCTGACTTACTAAGCAAATTCCTTGAAATATCTAACTTTGACATCATTAGTTTATACAAAAACAAATTCAAATTTCAAACTTTCCCATCTCAAAACACTGAAGATATTCCTCGAAACAAATTATTATGCAACTAATGTTGGAGTTCAAAAACCTGCCTCTATGTTTTCCTTAACAAATAGAAAATGTTTCAATACTAAGGCAGAAATATCCTACTTTCCATTCTGTAATATAATAGTGTGTTAATTTTTCTCTTTCAAACAACGTTTACTGGAGCTTTCGTATTTTCCAAGACAAAAAATAGAAGAAGTGGTATGGTGAATGGATGTTCTGTCAAGGTTTAACTGTAAAACAAACACACATTGAAAGAAGTTGCTAAACACTGCATATGAACAACTCTAGTTCTCACTCCGATGTTCATTGATAATATTTTGTGAAGTGTGTCTGCCAACCCATAGATTTTATATTTAATGATTTACAGCATATAAAGAAAAGGAATATAATAGCAGCCTATTTCTAAAATACCAAAATATCATGAAATGATTTGATTGTGATTTATAATCCCCTTAATTCTTGGTGTTTTATTTTCTATCATAATCTGAATTTAACACCAGAATTTCAACCTTCCTAAAAGAAAGAAGCAGTAGATTGGAATGAAAATAAAAGAAAAACCTGCTGACCATCCTTTGGGCAATCACCTTGACCAACTACAAAATCCCGGTATATGAGCCCCGAGTCACTCTTTACATAGTTATCTGAAGATACTACTTTAACTTGAAAACCTGAAATATATAACAATAAATCACACCATCGAATGAATTTCACACTAGGCTCCTCAATTTTGCACACTGAACTTTGGTAGACAAACATAATTGAGACACTGACCAGAGTGACCACAGTGTAAAAAGTAATAGAACTTTTTTAACTAAACTTAGAAAGTAACATAATAACAAAAACAAAGCCTTATCCCGTGAGATGAAGCCAGCTGCATGGATCATAGACATCAATGGACTCAGTTAAGAACCAAAAATATATTATTCACCGTGTGTCTCCAAACAATGTTTGCCTTAGCAAGTTTTACGCTGGCTACTAAGGGCATAACACAACCCTCCTTCTTTAGCCGAGGTTGGGACTGGCTATGAAACCATGGTCAGATTCACAGAATATACCATAGAAAGTAACACAATCATTTGCCAAAAACAAATATAAGCTTAGACATTATGGAGTGGAAACTGGAAAGCAAATAGCTAAATCAGCAGTAGATCTTTAAATTGATAAAAAAATTATCATTGTCACCTTCTCTAATAAAATTTGGGAAGTCCTCAGGCGCATTGTTTTCTTTCTGTATCCGCCGATTTTGTTGTAGCAACCGTTTTTCATCGTAAGGATTTGTACTCTTTGTCTTCCCATAAGAAGGCAAAGTTGGAAAAACACTAGTTGAGACCAAGACAGAAAGGAAGAGTGTTCTCCTCAATGATTTCTCAGAATGCAACATGCAACTATCCTGCACTCTATCCTCACAGAGAAAACACACCAAATCAGAATCCATTACCGATATTTCACAAAAGAATATCAATCCACATGCCACTCTTACAAGTAATCCTTTGAGTTTTGGTTTGTGCATCCATGAGTTAATTGTTTCCTTTGACAAAATATAGTGCCTTGTACAGGACAAGGGAAGTTCACTGCTCAAAAAAGTAAAACCCTTTTAGTATCTGCAAAAACTTCCATTCCCTAATTTGTTGCCTAATCATGTAAATCCCAAAGCAACATTGCCAGCTCCAAATTGTTCAAAGACATACTATTTACATTAAATTTCACTTTCACCCACACCAACACATAACTGGGAATGTAAAATTCCAATCAGAATTAGAAGATTCTAACATCATGAGAGAAGAGTAAAACTGGGTAGGGAAAAGGAAAGTGGCATCAAAACCCAGCATCACATTACATCCAAAAGTTAAAGATTTGAGCAGGCACAATATACTAACTTTAACATCAAGAAGAAGCATAAAACCAATATAGTTCACATAAAAATAGAGAGATATTTAAGGTGGAATTGGGACTTTGCTGCAAAGGGTGTGTGAGAAAGACTTACAACGAAAAAACGACAACATAGCTTCTGAGAGTAGAAGTTCACAGCACAACGCCTGTTTCCTGTTGCTTCTACGTTATCTACTCTGTTTGCCGTAAAGGAAACAACAATTCTTTTAGTTAAAATTGATCCTGTTTTCTATATTTAAAAATAATAATTTTGCTTTTTTTTATATAATTTGAGAATTTCATCTCCACAAAGAAAAATTAAATTTGTAAATCATCAATATCATTATTTTAAAAAATGCTAAGCTTGATTTTAAAATACAAAGAGTAAAATCGATTCTAAAACATATTGATTACCACTGTGATAGAAAATTAACAGATTCAAAACATATTTTATCTTTATTTAATTTTAACAAAATTAAAAAAAATAATTAAGATAATAATATATAGTTACTTCACACTAAAATATTAAAAATGTCAATATAACTTATGAGTTTAATTTTTATGGCATGGTGTATGTAATCTAATTAAAAAATTTAAATTAATATTAAAATGTTTTCAAATAATTATTATAAAATTTATGTCTGTAGACTGTATAGTATAATATTTTTTATGATTGAATCACAATTTAAAATCATTTTTAACATTTCTTTTGTCTCATTATTAACTGATACATTTTTTGTTGTTTCCTTTAATATTTCTTTCCCTTTTCAAATTTTAATTTTTTTAATAGCCAAGCATTATATGTAAGGAAGAACATAGGCGCCACCTTACGAGGTAAGGTAGTACCTCGGAGAGTAGACTAGACTGAGATCTCCACCCTCATCTTGTCTTGAAAATGGCAGATGCAGAAGGGTTCGTTGAAGCAGATAATGCAGAGGCCATTATTACCAGAATTGAACACAAATCCCGCAAGATCGAAACTTTACTCAAACAGTACTAACCCTTTATTCCTTTCCTTTTTCTTTTCCCATCACCGCATCCATCAATTAATTGTTTGTTTTTTTATTTATATTTATCATTGTATATGCTGTGTGATGCAATTTCAGGTATAAACCCGTGGAAGCCCTTAAAACTGCGCTTGAAGGAACATATGCCATTATTGGTGATGAGCGTTGCAAGGTTTTTCCTTCATCCCCAGTTATTTTATATATTTTTCTTACACTTTTTTCTATCTTTTGAAAGAAAAATTGATGCTAAACTGTTATTTGTGATAGTGTTTGTATTTGCACCTTATTTGGATCATCGTGGAACTGAAGCAGTGTTTGATTAGCAGATCAAATTACCCTGATACTCGTGATTTCTTCGAAAAATTAACACAAAATTCCTGGCTTTTTAATATAACCCCTTATAGGAACACATGGTGTCATGCCTCAAATGGATAATAGGAGTGTTATTGTAATTTATTTCAAACAATTAAAGAGAAGTACTGTAGAAAGGAAAAGTTAGATCATTTGTATTTCAAAGAAATCTTGGGAAGTGTCGGTGTAATTTGTTCTTATTATCATCATCATCAATAAGCTTTTTTTAGCTAGCAACAGTGTTTAGTTTTTGTCCCCTATTGTTACTTTGGAAATCTTGTGCAATTCAATTGATGTTTTCTAATTTCTTGAAATCATAACATATTTTTCATGTATTTTGGATTTCTTTTTCTGTTTTTCTTTTTACATTTTAGTGTTTGGTGCTTAAATATTTCTTCATACATTTGATTTTAATTGCTGAGTAGCAAAAACAGTATTGCCTCCGCCCCCTTTTAAATCCAAGTTCAACCTGCAAAGACTATTCTTTTTATTACACGGACAATTGTAATGGAACTTTCATAATATGTTGAAACTTGAAATTATGGCATATTTTACTATACCTATATCCTTTTTTTTTGCCAGTCAGCACATTGGATTGTTGTGCATAGAGCTATAATGGCTATAAAAGATGTGGATGGGATGCTTTCTTCCTTGGATCCTGAGTACTATGATATTCTAATGAAGTGAGTGGTATAGTATATCTTGCTTGAATTCAATTTTACTTTTCAGCTCAAACGTGCTAGCTTCTCATTCTTTTAGAATACAAATTTGCTAGGGTGATGTTAACATTTTGAGGTTTATAGGTAATTGTCATTGTAGTTTGATCTGTGTTCCACCTTGCATGGTATGTTCTGCACTAGCACAATTACAGCTAAAGATCGTAATATGGACTGTAATATAGGTGATTTGTTCGTAAATTTTTTCAGATATGGAATGATAATGTTTTGGTATAGTGAACCTGTGATGTGGATGGTGGGAATAGTATTCTAAGTGATGTTTACATAGTGTGGGGGAATTTATGGTTGTTAATTAGGAAAGACATGGCAGAATCTCTTGATCTTCCCTGCTAACAATTTTGCATTCAATCTTTTTTGCTCTGGAATTCCTCTAGTCTCTTTCTGTCCTAATATTTTAGAATGTGTTATTTTAGACAAAGGAAAGTTCATAGACCTTCAATAGTGAATATTATCAGGGATTTTATTGGATTTGTTTATATAATTTGAAGGTAATTATTATAGGAGTTACAGTGCTTCTAGGATGATGTATAGATTAGGAAAGTCATGGAAGGTTGTTTACTTTCCAGTCTTCCCAATATGGCTATAAGGGCCTGCTGTGTGTGAACCAATATGCTCCTTAAATTTTCATTTATAAGTTTTATTCCAATAATTTTCCTTGTATGCTGTTCAATGCTAGAATTTCTGTAAGTAATTCCTTGGTCATGAAGAACCGGACATAAACTTTCAAATGAATTTACGCTTTAATCTATCAATGCAATATAAATTTGAATTTAAGACCAATACACTGCATGCCAAATGTGTATTTCAAACATTCAATCTCAGTTATGTTATTCCAGATTTATGATCAGACTACAATCTTTGCTTCCTCTTATACATTAATACAACAACAGGTTAGAGGGGATTTTTACTATATAATATTCTCTTCCTCGATGCTTATGCATGAGGTCTATGTTAACAGTCACAATTTTAGGATCCCTCATTGATAATTTTGTCAAAACATGAAGGATCTGCTTAGGATCAATAGGATTGATTGTATCCATCCAACATCAATCTCACTTGTGCTGTAAGTTTTTGTCAACCATCATTGAGTCAAACTCCAGAATTCTTGCAAATTCATTTGTGATTTTCTTAGATTTCAATAGAAATACTCTTGTAGTTAATGTCAATCATACAAACTGGTAGAGTTTTCCCATTTTAGATTAGTATGCTATAACTATTCCCCTCAGGAATGTAATTGCTGTAAAGCATCCATTACAACCTAAGTCTTCTACACCATATACCAAATCACTAGTCTGCATGCTCCAAGAGTTAGTAAGGCATCTTTCATGCCCATCCTAGGAAACAAAAGGTACGTATTTAAATATTTCACATAATAAATATCAAGTGTTTGTCAATTATTGTTAGTTTTTATCTTATAAAACATAATTTAGTCATTTATATTAATTCACAATTTTTTGAAACATGTTTTGTTTTTCATAATTTTATAGTATTCTATAACTTAAATATTATAGAATATAAAAAATTATAACTTTAATTACGACTTCGATTACAGTTAGCCCATTAAACCTTGAATCAGTTTCTTTACCAATTCAATCACTAGGTCAGTGTCAAAAACATCACCTTCATCTAGTTCCATCAAAACACCTGTAACACAACCTCAATAAACATAAAGGGCAGTATAGATTCAGCACAGCAACCTGCCACAGACCTCTTTACTTGAAACCAATTTCTAGTTTCTAGGTCAACTAAATCTCTACCTTTCCAATACCTTATGTCCTCTACAACCTCATTAGCAAAAAGAACTCCACCTAAGATATTCCCACAATAGAAATTCTTTGAGATAACACTTTCTTCAGTAATTTCAGATTTTTAAGACATTAAATGAGTCTTTCTTTTCACAATATGATGGTTACTACAGTAGATAACTAAATGATATTTAACAATATGATAATAACTAGTGGATATGCACCATTTTCTGTTCTAAGAGGTTATCTTCCTTAGGTACTTGTATAGAGGCTTAGCCACTGGAGATCGTCCCACATGTGATCAATTTCTTCGGATTCATGAAAAATTGACAGAGAAAGCAGGACATGGTTGCATCCTACGTTTCCTGACTGATACTGTAAATACAGTTTGATTGATATTTGAATTTTTTGTTTTTTTTCCTTTTTTTTTATTTTCTTTTATTTTGCAAGACTACACCAATCAATGTAGTGAAATATCAAGGAAATATATTGATTTTGAATTTTTGGATTCAAAATAATATGATCTGTACCTTCATTGAAAAATCTGAAATATCTAAAACATGTAGAGGAGCTAGTAACTTCATAGTTTGCCTCCAGCATTCTCACAAAACACATTTTTTAGGGTTTAAATTCTTTTGGAGAACTTAAATACATTTTGATTGCATAGCATGAGATATATGGTGCCAAAATTAAATTCGTACCAAAATTTGAACTTTTACCCAACACTAGTAACATTATATCACTTGAAATAATAACAAGAACGAAATTATTTCAGAAGAAATAAAGAGAATCAAATTAACTACATTAATTTAATAGTTTGAACTTAATTTAAAGTAAATACTGTTAAAATTAAAATATTAAATGAATATATATTTTCACCGTTAGCTGCAATATCTGCAAAAAATATGTAGACTTTTATTCTGTGTTATAAATTGTACAGTGCATTGTTTTAGATAAATACAATTTCGACTACAAGCGAATGCACAAGTTTTTTGGATTTTCATTGGCCAATATATTGTAAAAAAATATTGAAAAAAAAAGAATAGTAAATAAAACAAAACTTCTTAAATAAATCATGGCATTGAACTAATCTCAACTGAAAATACCTGAATTTACCTAAAGGTAAAAACCAATACATTGAAGTATCATTTCAGCTGCTTTTTTTCCTTAAAAAAAAATAATATTTTTTTTCAATCACTTTAAAATCAAAATAGTTTTTTTTTCTCTCAAAAATTATTTATATTGTTTCATGGATTCCAAAGAACAATTTTTATTTTGGAATTTTTACCGAATGGGTGCAATTGTTCCACGTTATTGTGAAAGTGGTGCACTTTTTTAAAAATTTATCTAGATCGATAAATTTGTCCACGAATTAAATTTTTTTTTTAATTGTGTTAGATGACATGAATTTCTTATTCCTTTTTATGAAAATTAGTTTTGTATTTTTTATAATTTTATTATAAATTAATATAATTAAAAATTGTAATAAAAAAATATAAGAATACTTAAAAATGAAATATATTAATATCAAAAGTAAAATATTACAATATCATTGTTTATGTGGATAATTATTATGATTATGACCCTCAATACAATTGGTGATCTATTTCGTTGGAGATACGTATAATGATAGGTCTTCTTTGTTGTTTATGTCACATACATGGATTCAAAATGAATTTTGAACCAACATAAAGAGATCAATAATCTTCATTTTGTAGTGGGTGAAATTGATGTTCATAAACTTTCAAAATTCAGTCTAACCTATATACTCAATCAACATATGTACCAATTTGCAAATGTCATAAGGAACAACACAATAATAACATGTGAGCAGAGTAGTTGGAGAGCTTGAATCTGTCCACACAATCTATCATGTTCTGGTTTGATAATTTGTTTAATTTCAAACTCATTAATTTCCCTACATATCTTTAAACATCACATATGTTGGCTCATTGTTGGTGTTGTATGAGGAAGGTCGCAATCTCTTCGAGGTACTCATGTCCTGCTCGTAACATGATCTCTACTTTCATGTCACGTTCGACAAAACATGGTTTTATTCTTTCAAATATGGTTTTGAATAAGGAACATATTGGCAAGGTTTGTACTCCTTTTAAAATTGAGTTCATGCACTCTACTCAATTGGTAGTCACATGATAATATATTTTCCCTCCATTATGTGCTTGTGCCTTTTTTTTCAATGGAATTTGATCCAACCAAGACACATCTTGTCGAAACTCTAAACTCATAGCAGATAACTTAGCTAGAAGTCTTGGTTGCTTCATCTCATATGTGAAAAAAACAAAATAAATGAAAAGTTAATAAATATGGAAATTAATGATGAAAAATAAAAAAAGTTAGTATATATATATATATATATATATATATATATATATATATATATATATATATATATATATATATAACTCATGTTAATTATTTGGTTTTTCAACTCAACATTTTTTAATTTCTTATTGAAGTTGGAAGTTATATGTTGAATGCAATATACTTGACTAATTTGTGTATTATCCAACTTTTTTAGATTGGAATATTGCTAATATGGTTGTTCCTCTTTATGTTATGATACACAAATTTTGTTGAAGTGCAACATATTGTTTCAACAATTGAAAGAACCAAATCAAAACTTCTTTTGTCTCTTATTCAACTATTGCAAATATTAATGAAAATAAATTTTGATCTTTATCTTGTGCAATAATTGTCAATAAATTTTCATGATATCTTTTAGTCAGGAATATCCCGTCAATATGAATAACTAACTTGTAATAGTTAAATCCTTCACTACATAGCTTGAAGGATCATAAAACACGTTTTAAAATGTAACATGATGGATCTTGCATTCCATTGATGAAAGAAGGGGTAGTTATATGTTCGACAATTGTGTCGAGGAGAGTTTCTTGAACAACTTGAAACCATTTGGGAGGATGGTTGTATGACTCTTCCTAGACACCAAAAGTCATAACAATTGCATTTTCTTTTTCTATCTAAGCTTTTCTATAGCTAATTGAATAACCATGACGACTTTTAATTTTTGCAGTCAAAGTTTTGATAAAAACAAATAAATTTCCTTTTACCAATTCATAAATAATATAATTTCATTTTAGTCTAAATTTTGATGATCAATAGATAACTCAATTGACAAACATGTGTGATTTGCTTCAATTTTTTTATCTTCCATTGTTATCTAATTTTACTCACTGAAACTCTAAGTCTTCATTGATACGTACACCCATAATGGACACATTGAACAACATATCTATCATACTTTGACTCAATTATAGATATGTATAACCTTGCTCAATATGAAAATGTTTAATTGCACTTACTGTTGTCTTTTTTTATTGGAAACACACATTTCTTTAGAAATAATTGCACCTGAAGTAGAAGATTGTGCATGTTGCCTATTACTGCTAATCAATGAAGGATCCAAGGTATCAACTTCTTCATCATTGTGTACATGATCATCTTCTTCGTCGAAATCATGAACAATATCTCATATAATATTGTTATGATATTGGAAGTGTATCCATGAATTGACCCGCACTTTTAATTTATAGAACTAATTGCATAAGATTGTTCTTATTTTTGTAGATTACCCAACAAACACTCGTGGTTGTACCAATTGAGATGTCTTTCACTAGCATGTTACTACCAAGCTCCTTTAGCTTTTTTAGATGCACGTGTGCCTTCAATTGCACTTATTGGTGCCATCACTAAGCTTTTCCATTATCACCAAAGGCGTGCCATAGATGTCTGGAAAAGCATTAAAGTCGTGCCTAAAAAATGAGTTCGTATCAAAATTGTGCCATGTCACATGACTTTGTACTGAAGCCATGCCATGTGAGACGATTTCAATGTTGAAATTGTGATACATCATGCCATTTTACTATATGGTCAAAGCCAAAATTGTGCTACATGTCACAAATTTGGTACAACTCCACATTGGATTCCTTTAGAAATAATGTTGAATGTTGGGATCTTCTGCACATTGAATTTTTGGTTGGTTGGGGTGTTGAGAATTTAAGTGTGAGTTTAAAGTCCCACATTAGGTAGAAATGGGAAAGTTGAATAACTTATAAGTGAGAAAGACCCATAACCTATTGCCTTAAGGTTTTGAGTTGAGAGTGGTGTCATATTCTCTTATATGGTTGGCTCATGACCCATTTGTGAGAATCTCCCTACTGTTTGCCCCCTTGGAAACCCCTATCATGGGGTGGGTGGCATTAGGAAATTGTAATGGTTATATAAAAAGGTTCATAGCATAGCCAAGCTATCCATTTAGTTTTGTAGAGAATCTTTTCATAAATTGCTTACCATCCCTTCACTTTTGAACCATAGCAAACACTTTTTTTCTTTGAATCTCTTCTTCATACACATAATTGTTGTGTATTCAGGTTTGTCATCCCTTATCAGTTCCTCTCTTCCTTTCATGCATGTCCTTTCAATCTCTATTTTCAATATCTATTGGATATATTATGTTTTATTGTATTTATTATATTTACTATCTTGTTTTACTATAGATATATTTTACTATTCTTAGCATATTTTACTATTCATTCTAAGAATTTATTCTATAGTTTTATTGTATTTATTGTATTATTATTTGTAAGAATTTATTTTATATTAACTATATATATATATATTTATTGTAATATTATTATTATTTACTACCTATTATTTATTTACTATATATATATATATATATATTTATTGTATATATTTATTTAGTATAAGAATTTATTTTATTTAATATAGTCTTATTATAAGATTTTATTCTATGTTTTACTATGTTATTATCGTACATTGGCCCATGAAGTTGACCCTCATCAAGAAAATATTGGAAGTTGTATGTTACTTCTGTAATGTTGGGCATGAGACCAAATTACATGCCTTTATCCACCTGTTGAAGATTAAAATGATGAAGAGGTTTATGCAGGATTTGGTTTCTCTAGTAAGAAGGTATGACCTTAGATTCTTTTTTTTTTTTTTCACAATACAATATGCATGACATTATAAATATGTTTTTGAACTTAGGTGATCTCAACCTGGACAAAGGTCAAATACACCAACATACGTCGTACATATATTACGCTACTCATTAGATCAACTACAATCGAAGAAGGTATTACAACAATATACTTGTTATTCATGCATACATATTTTATTTTAAAATAATATATTTGTATTTCATTGTGTAGTTTATATGAACTTCATACTATAGAAGTGTCCTATGATGGCTAATAAATGTTAAAGTTTCTCTTGCATTATGTCTTCTTGTACCTTTTATTTTTTTTCGCAACTGTTAAGTTTCATCATATTGATCAAGTGATGAGACAATTTGATCTATACCAAAATGTTCCTCATGATTCGATAAATC